CTATCCCTGAGCTAAATCTCTAGCAGTAAAAGGAAAGCAAAACACTGAAATCTAAAAATGGAGAGATCTAATCCATGAAGCCTACAGGATCAGTTGTGTGAGAGGGGGTGCATTACCACAAGTTGTTTCTAAAAACTAAGACCGAACTCCATTACAGCGCACAAATCGTAAGCGTGCAAGTTGACAAGCTTTTCCCTGAGCACTCGCTTATCCAACACCAAGAGATGAAGACACGGACAACTGCAGCGCTTCTTCGCCCTGCATGCTGGTCACCACGCTCAGCTCCGCTTGTTCCTGGACACCGTAGAAACAGATGTATACTCATACACTGTCATGTCTGGCTTCTTTCCCTCAACTTTACTTTTATAGTGTGGGTATCAGTAACACATGACAGAGTTGTCTACTTATTCTCCTGTGAGGGGACATTTGGTTGTTTCTATTAGTCTATTATGAATAAATCACTTTGTATGGACACTTTTCTTCAGATCTTTTGGTGGACACTTATTTTTTTCTATGACGACAGACTGCTAGGCCACAAAGTAGGTTTGTGTTCAATTTCAGTAGACAGGGCCAGATTTTGAAAATGACTACATCAATTACTTATGAAGAGTGTTGGAGAGTTCACATAAAAATATATTGAAACTTTGAGGCTGGAGGTGGGGGCTTGCTATGTTACCCAGACTGGCCTTGAACTTCTGGACTCAAGCCATCTTCCTTGTTGGCCTCCTGAGTAGTGGGACTAAAGGTATGGGCTAATATGCCTGGAAATAACTTGGGGGAGGGGAGAGGAACCAGGGATTAAATTCAGGTCCTCATGCATACAAAGGACATGATTTACTACTGAAGTGATATATCAAGTTTTTCAATTTAAAAAAGCTCTGGAATTGAAGCACAACGGCTTTGAGGCTATTCCCCGAACTGGATAACAAAGTGCTCAAACTCACACACAAGGTGAATGGGGAGTGTGGGAAGAAAAGACTTTTCTATCCGAATCTTTTATTCTTTTATCTAAAAAGTCAATTTCACTATCATTTAATATAAGAATTGACATTAATGCCCTTATCTTAGGTTTACTGTGACTTACTGCCATTTGGGAGAGCTTGGTTGAACCGAATTAAGGAATATTTAATTCACCTAGCTTTCACCAAACAGACAAATGACTAAGGAAGTTCTACACAGGTAATAGTAATGAATACAAGCACACAACTTTACAAAATGACCCAACTGGCATGTGTAATCTAAAAAACAAAACAAACCTCTTTAGATGATTAAAAGCTAGGGCCTCCTGATCAACTGGGTCTCACAAGGCACAGGCCAAAAACATTCTAAAAACTACGGCTTAAAAATATGGATTTAATACATTACTGTTAATATCTTGACAATAAAAGATTTGAACCATAAAGTATCCTTATCTCATGGTCATCACCTTTGGATAATTTTTATGTCTATTTTATACATAGTAGTATAAAATAAGAGGCATACATAATTTTAAGGTAAATTTACACATATTAGAAATGCATGCTGAAATTTTACCAACAGGATATTCAATCAATGGAGTTCAGATCCTTGTTTATTTAGTGCACGTGTTTTTTTTTTTTTTTTTTTTAGTATTAGGCTAGGAAATCTTTATGCACAGATGAACTTCTAGTTTTTAAAGCTATATACAACAGTCCACAGAAATATTTAGCTGCCTTAATGTTAAAATGACACAGGCAAACAGTAGGAAAGAAGGGAAGAAGACAGGAACTAGCCAGGAAGAGACACAAGAGAAATTTCCTAGTTACTGGTACTAGTCTACTTCTTGGTAGGTATTTTTTATTGTATCTGTATATATATTAATCAAATTCAGTCAATGTACTTTTAAGTTTCCTTCTATGTAAATTTTACCACATAAGAAAAAAAAATAAAGATTCATTAAATACGCTGACCTATAGTTAATGACAAGCATATTTAATTAATTATAATATAATTATAATATAAATTATAATGTCTATAACTTATTTTGAAGTATATCAAATTAAGATAGACTGCTGTATGGATAGAAGGATTGATATGTGAACAGGTATGTGATGAATACAGTATAATTAATAAAAATCTAAGTGAAAGATATATGGATGCTCACTGAATAATTGAACATCTCTTTGATTTTCATGGTAAAACACTGAAGAGCTGAAAACTGACAGACATTAACTTAAAATGGCATAATGGTACAATGTAAGTTATAAATTTATAATGGAAAAAGTAGGAATATTCAAGCACATTGCTTTGGGATACAGCAGTATTCTATCCTCAGGGTATGTTTCAAAATTCACAGTGGATGTCTGTAGTGGGGACAGTACCATTGCCTATAAACACTTTTATTTTTTTCTTGAAATACACATAACTATGAAAAAGTTAAACTTATAAATTAGGTAAAGAGATTAACAATAAAGAATAATTAAAACAATATATTGTAGTAAGTTATTTGAATGTGGTCTTTCCCTGTCTCCCAAAACACTGTATAGCACTGCACTCTACTTTTGAACTGTGGAAATGAAAGCACTGAAAAAGGAAACTAATAAACTCTTTATGTAGTGAGAATTATCTATTTTACAGACTACTAAATTGAAATTCAGAAAGATTACAGAAGTATGGCCAGACCATTAAGTGTCAAGGCCAGGCAGGAATGGAATCCAACTTTTCCAAGTCTTCGGTCCTTTTGACTCATATTTCTCACAAGGTGCCTCCTAAACCAGACATCTTCCTCACAAGCAAGGGAACTGTTCTTCCATTCCTGGACGGACCAGCTCTGACTTTTCAGAAGCTCCTCCCTAGGGTATCAAGCTTCTCTTCCCATGGTAGGTGTGATTCTCTGGAGCCTCACATATTGCAGTCCCCACGTAACTACATTTTATATAAAGTGAAAGTACTGGAAATATGGATAAGATTCGTTTTCTAGTTAGTATTTTTAAATATCAACTGACCAAGTTATAAGCATGTATAAAATGAGGGATAATGCTGCATAAAATTGAGATGAGAACCTGTTTTACCAAGCATATGTAATCAAGAGTAGGACCTCAAAATATCTTTTTCTCCTAACCTTTACCTTTCCTCAGAATGCAAAATGTTGCTCTTTATAAAATAATTTTCATAACCTTAGAACCTTTCCTTAAAGTTAAATGTGAACACACAGAGACTTTTCTTCCATGCATCATTTTAAATCTGAAAACCTAATGGGTTTGTGCTTTCTCATTTCCTTTTCTATCTTGGTTTGGGATTCTATCTTCCAGGAATTTTTTTGTACAAGTAGATACACTTTTGTAGCACAGAATTACCACAGGTGGCCAACCTGTGAGAGCAGTATGTTAATGAGATGTTTTTAAGCATTTTCTTTTGGACCATCGGAAGATACTTTTCAAAGGCAGGATTGTAAGGAATGGCTGTGGCCTTTCACTTTTGAGTATGCACATACAACCTCACAGCTGTATTATTTCTTAATTGACAAATACACACAGGGACTCCCTAAAAGACTCCTAAAGTCACACATCTTGCCCTTGTAAGTATTATATACTGTTTTGTAGCATCAAAAACAAAACAACCAGTAATTCTACACTGAAAACCTCGCCTTGTTTAAGGACCTGGGGTTCGTGCATGAAGAACTTCTCACAGCCTAATGGAGTCTGAGACAGTTTTTTTTTTTTCCTCTTGATGCCTGAGGTTGTTAGTGTTGGAAGGAATCTGGAGATGGTTGTTTTATAGCGGTAGAAATGGATGTGCATGCAGTTAAAATGATTAGTTCCTAGCAGTACCTAAACCACACACCAGATCCCCTCAATTCCCAGCCCAGTGTCCTTTCCATTTTAAAATCATGCCCAAACAAACGTTTAAAAATATGGTTATGTCCATCCATTACCTCAACTCCACTAAATTCCAGCCTGCCCCTCCTGATGTCACTTCCTCTTGTGAAGGAGTGTTTTCCCCTTGGTCTTGTTATCTTCATTACCACACAGCACTTGGATTCACACTCCCAATCTGTCAGCTTTTCCATGGGCTGTGTCTGTTCCTCCATGATACCGACACTGTCTCCAAAATGCCTCGACTATCCCTTAACTACATCTATTTCAGGCAGTCAACTGCCAACTATCACAAAATTAGAGGTAAAAGTGATTTATTTTTTAAAACATAAAGCGCGCACACACCGGGGAGTGCTTCTTCCTCAGTCAAGGGAGTGTAAGGAAAATGCCGAATGCCAGGTATTCACTGCAGATGCTTTCTAGAGAAAACCCAGCGACAGCCTCGCAATTTAGGAAGAGAGCTATCGCGGGCTGTGGTTCGAGGCCAAGAAGGTGGTTCGGAAACTGACCTAAAACAAATATGGAGGTGAAAAGGCACCAGGAGCTTCCTGAAGTCCTCAGCCGGAGACAGGGCTATCTGGTGTCAGTTTCTAAGAACGAGGGGGCACCAGGGAGGCACACGGACAACGCGAGGGCATCGCGCTCGGGGGGAAACTCAACAAGTCTGGAAGGGGAAGGAGGATGCACTGAGCTGGAAGATGCTGCCACGAGGCTCGCGCTGGCCTCGGCACGACCACGAACCCTTTCCGGGACTGACCTCCCCCACGGGCTCTCGCCGGCTGGGGACGACAGCCTTGGGCTCTCCTACCTGCCTCGACGTTCGCCCGGGACCAGGGGGTGTCTACCCAGGACCGTGCTGGGGAGCCGGCGCCTCCACCCCGGGCCCGCTTCCCTTCCCGGTCGGGCCGGACCCGCCTTCGAAAAGTGGGCGTCAGGATGGCCGCCGAGCGGGCGGCCGGGCGAGGGCGCCGCCGGAACCCTGGCCTGGGACCCCGAGCCCGGCGGGCAGCGCGGCTCGCGGCTGAGCCCAGGCGGCGGCCGGCCGTGCGGCGGGCTCGCGCCGAGGTGCTGGGGGAAAGGGGGCGGGCGCGCCATCATGAAGGGAAAATGGTGGGCGGGCGGGCCCGCGCGCGCCGCCGCCGCCGCCGCCGCCGCCGCCGTACTCACCCGGGCGGGCCAGTGCGGGTAGCCCTTCATCTTGGCGAAAACCAGGTCTCCCGCTTTGTACTCGCGGGGCCGCGGACGCGCCATCCCGGTCGTTCCCCTGCCCGCTCGTCCTTGGTCGCCGCGAAGATGCCGGGGAGGCCGCCCGCCCCCCTTACACGCCCCGCGCCCCGCGCGCGGGGCCGACGGGCACCGCGCCGCGCTCTCCCCCGCGGGGCCTCGAGCGGCCGCTCCGACGAGAGGAAGCGGCGAGGCAGCGGCCGAGGCGAGCGGTGTCTGTGTGTGTGTGTGTGTTGTGTGCGTGTGCGTGTGCGTGTGTGTGTGTGTGTGTGTGTATGGGGTGGGGGGAGACCCGCAGGCCCCGGCAGATCCCCGCCCGGCTGCGGGGGAGGGGAGCACGCGTCCGGCCGCACCGAGTCCTGCTGCTGCCGCCGCCGCCGCCGCCGCCGCCGCTGCTACCGCCGCCGCCGCCGCGTGCAGCTCCCAGGAGCCGCGTCGCCGCTTCCCCGCCGAGCTCTCGGGGCGCCGTGCGAGCTCCGGGCCTCGCGCCTCCTCCGAATTCCTCCTCGGGCAGCGACCGCAAACACGATCTTATTATTGTTCTCGCGCGCGCTCAGCATCCCCCCCCCCCTCCCGCCCTCGCCCGCCCCGCTTCCCTCCCCTTGCGCGCCGGCCGGTTAATTCCTAGGTGCACGGCCGGCTTTCGCGGAGAAACCGCGCGCGCCGCCCCGGCTGGCTCGGCGGCGGGCTGCTGGTGGGCGCGTCCTCCCGCAGCCGCGAAGCCGGTGCCCGGCGGGTGGGAGCGCCTACTCCGAGGACGCCCGCCGCCTGCTCTCTTTTGTTCTTGGCCGGGAGCTGCCTGGCGTAGCCCAGCCAATCACTACCCGGCCGCCCCTCTTCCCTCCTGCCCGCGCCCACCCCCCACGGACTGCAACCCCCCTCCCTTCCCGGCTGCCCCCCACCCACGGGCCACTTCTGCCGGTGCTCTCTGGTGAGTGGTGGGGGTGGAGGGGACAAAGGCGCCCCAGGCATGGGGATGGCCGCGCAGGGGACTCTCCGCTTGGTCACTAGGCTGCTGGAAAGAGCTGGCGACCTCCTTAAGGTTTTTGCCCCAGGTCTGCCTTAACAATGCAGCGTGAGCCACCTAGGGCGAGCTGCTTCACTGGTGTCAAGGCCAGTCCTCACCGGCAGGATGGCACAGTCGGGTTTTGAACATGGACCTGTGGTCCAATGCCTATAGCCGTTATTTGCTTCTCTATGTGGGGGCTTCATAGGCCAGCAGTTGGGGGAAAAGGACTTAGCCTGACAAGTCACTTGTTTTCGATTCTGGCAACATGCTGGATAGCAGCTTCTGGTGATTTCTTAACACAGGTCAGTATGTCTAGAACAAATGTGTGCATTCACCGTTGTTTTATTTGGAAACCAGCTGACTGCTCTCGAAGGCATTTTGGGAGCGAGAATCTTTATAATATCCTCCTTTGTGAGTGATAAATAAAATAATTCCCTGTTTTCTGAATTTGCCTGATGAATGAATGGATGTTGCCTCTTCCATCACCATGAACACGCCTTCTTTCAAAGGTCCGCTGGTGCGACTGTGGCCTGCACCTAGTTTAGAGGCCGTTCTGGTTTGTCGACTTCCCTCTTTGCCGTATCTCCCCGCTATAGAAGGTGGCTTTTCCCAGCGTCTGCTTCCCTCGTTTGCGTTTGCGCTATAGAACTGTTTTACCGCAGGCTTCCAGGGCTGAGCTTCCAGTGACCGGCCGTAGTCTGTAGACGTTCTCTGTGTTTACTTTTCACCTGGCCATTTCTTTCCTGGTGCATTTCCTTTTTGTATCTCTTAATTCTCCCGTCCCTCCACCCCTCACCTTTTCTATAGACCCACCTTCTCTTCTGCTGCAAAATAGTCTAGGTCTTTTGCCTTGGCTCTGGTGGCCCGATGATGTGCTTTTCAATTCTAGAAATCATGTCACACCCATCACAGGTACCTGTAGAGTGTCTCCTAGATCCTCATGTCAAAGCCACATCTCTTGACAGGCCACCAAAGCCCTAACTGTCCGAAGCCGGAGTGATCCGGTCTGCCAATGGGCTCAGGGTGGTCATGAGTAGAGGAGAGAATTGAGAGAAGTTATCAGTGTGGAAGCCATGGAAGGAAGCAAAGCTGGGAAGCAACATGGTCACAGTTGGGTTAGACAGAGTACTCCAGTGGCCAGTACAGAGGTGGATCTGAGGGTGAGGCTGGAGCCAGGACCCTCACTGAGGGACTTTCACCAGGAGAGAGAAGATATGGTCTCAGACATCTTGCTGACTCATGAGTGGCAAGTGGGTAGGAGGAATGGTGACTAAAATATGATTCCTTGGTTTCTAGGTTAAATAACAGGATTTTCAGCACTGCGAAAGGTTAGGAAGTCTGTGAAGAATAGGCAGGTTTGCAGATAAGACCGTGAATGAGTTTGGGGGGTGTTGAGATTTCTGTGGGTCATGTTTAGGGGCTGTTGGCGAAGGCAGAATGTAGAGATTCGAATGCTATCAATATGCAGGTGGTGATCGAAGCTATGACATGGTCCAGGAGCGTGTAGAACGAGAGAGCAATTGCCAAGTTGGAGACAGCTCACCAAAAGTTTAGGAACAAGTAGAAAAAAAACGTTCCGTGTCACAGGATCCAGAAAGTTGAAGCATTTCTGGACGAAAGGAAATGTCTAGGTAGGTGGCAGAGAGAGGATAAGTGAGCTGCTGGAGGAGATGGGCCCGTTTATTGTGCTGACTGGGGAGTCATTGTGACCTTTTGGGAACTGTTTGAATAGAGGTGGAAAGAAACCAGAGTGGTGACTGGAGGTGCGGCAGAGGCAAAAATGTGCAAGCACAAAGTGCAGACAGCTCGCTCTCCTTGAATAAATACATCGGGTTCTGACAAATACTAAGTAAACACTGTGGAGAAAGTCAGTAAGAAGGCGGGGAGGAGGGCTGTGCTGCGTGGTGTTTGGGCAGTTTTTAAAGACAGGACAAACTGGAGTTTGTACATGGGGAAACAGCTAGCCACGTGGTTCGAGGCAATGTCAAAGGGGGTAACTCACAGGACTTTGGTTATTTTGAGAAGGCAGACATTTCTCCCGGTCTTTTGGTTTCTTGTTTTCAATTGAGCCTGGCCTTTTACTGCTCAGCACATATCATTGGCCCTAGTCTCACGCCCTAACCAAGCCAGACTTAGTAACACAAGAGCAGGGAATCCCCTTATGGGTTGTCTTTGGATGATCATCAGGACTGCCACAATGTGCCTGGCTAAGAGCCTGTCTGTGTCTGCAGCCAGGCTGCATGCAGACCTGCTGGGGAGGAAACACTGCCCTGCAGCTTTCACCGACGGCCTGACTCGTCTCTCCACTTTGTACAAAGGACTGGTGCAGTGGACATGCTTTATTCAAGTACTTAACAGATAATATGAAACCCTTTAGAGGTCTCATTAGCACCATACAAAAAGAACCTGATATATTTATTTAGCCAGTGTGGTCCCAGAAGTTGGTCTGTTTGTTATATTAGTGCTTGTGAGGTAGAGGCAGGAGAATCAAAAGTTTAAAGCCCGTTTCAGGTACAAAATGAGTGTGAGGCCAACCCGGGTTATGTGAGACCACATCTAGAAACAACAAAACCACATTCATTTTATTTCTGAAATGTGGAGGGAAATCTGCTTAAAAATTGCAATAATGTCATCTTCTTTGATCGCTTTTAATTTCAGTATTCTCAGATCCCCTGGGCTGAGGCTTCTCTCTGCCTCTGGCTCCATGTTGACTTTTGCGGTCCTGTGTCACTCATCTCGGTCCATGTGCTCTGTTGAGCTGGTCTTGCTTTCACCTTCGTATCTTAAGTTAGCATCCGATAAAGTTCCTGTCGTTCCTTCGCATCCTGCCCCTAAATTCACCTTTTCCAATTGCCCAAAATCTGTTCTTTTCCTTGAAATTACGTGTGAAGTGGAATCAGTTCTCAACTCTTACCATGTTCCCATTTGAGGTGCCAGCCAGGTGGGTGAAGCCATATTGGATCCTCTCACCCTAGATCATCTACCCTAGATAATGCCATATGGTATCACAAAGGCAAGCTGTACCCACAGAACCATACCCCACTTACAGAATCACAAAAGGAATAGTGGCAGTTCTTTTAGGCTATGAAAGTTTGAGATGGAGGGGCCTGACCTAAGCATTAGGACCTGAATTCAGTTCCTCAGCACCATTGTAAACAATTGAGTACAGTGGCCATGCACATGTAATCCCAGTGATGGGGAGACAGAGACAAGGAGACTTCTGGGGCTTGTTGGCTAGCCAAACTAGCCTAATGAGTGAGCTCTGGGTCCCGCTGAAAGATTCTGTCTCAGAAAACAAAGTGAGTGACTCCTGAGAAACAACACCTAAGGTTGACCTCTGGCCTCCACACATTGCACACATATAAACACCTACACACCTGTACACACAAAAAATAATTTAAAAAAAAAGTGCTCTGTCTGCATATTCCTCTGCTCACCAGAGGAGGGCATTGGATCTCATTACAGATGGTTGTGAGCCACTCTGTGGTTGCTGGGAATTGAACTCAGGACCTCTGGAAGAGCAGCCAGCACTCTTAACCACTGAGCCCTCTCGTTAGCCCTAAAAAAATAATTTTTAATGTGGGAGCAGATTGTATTTAAGAAAAGATAACAAAGGCAGGGGTTAATAGCAGTTTAATACAGATAAAGAGAGTTAGTGACCTAAATAGTCAGAAGAAAACGTTGAACTCAGAGATAAAAAGACTTGAGGAACTTCATATAGTCATTTCAGCATTCTGTGCTCGTATTTGTAATTACCTGTGAGATATGATTTTTCTGTAGTCTAAGATGGAGTCCCAAGTGATGAGACAGAGAATGAGATGGAAGGAATATTGCTATCGGGAGTTTTCTGAAACCGAAGATACCACTGTGGATTGAACAGTTGTGTGCACTCCCCCCACCGCCCCAGTTTGTATGTTGAAACACCAGTTCTCAGTGTGATAGCATTTGGTGATGGGGCCTGTTGTGTAGCTCTTCCCTCTGAATTGGAGATTCCCTCCTGGAAAGAGGCTTCTGAAGACTCGGGATGCAAACACAACTTACAGGTCTCAGGAAGCTCCTGAAACTAAGAAAATTCACAGAGAACCTCCCTGTGGTTAAAAAAGCAGTGAGGGCTTATATAAGCTGGGGTAG